ATTAGCAAACACCCGTGACTGAGGTTGCCAGTTAACTTTCTGCCACGTTCGGTCAAGCCCCCCCCGCCCCCCGCCTTTTTTATTTTAACAAAAACGATTCAGTGGAATTCCTCGGGGCCCGGGGCTGCAGCGCGTGTCCCCTTACGCAGCCCCTGCTCTGAAGGGGAGCCTCTAGGTCCCTTTGAGGTGTGAGTGACAGCGGGGCACTGCTGTCACCACCGCAGGCGGGCGCGCGGCCGCACGTCCGGTGCGCGTGGGCGCCGCCCCGCCCCGCCCCGCGGCGAGGACGCGGACACGCAGGCCCCGCACACTCGCTCGCACACTCGGAGCGCCGCGCGCAGGGCGGCTGGCGGTCGCCGCGCTGTCACTACGTCTCCACGACGCGCTTTTGCCTCTGACCTGCGAACGTCTCCGCCTTTTCTCTCGGCCCCCAAACCTTGGCAACCACCATTCTCCCTGCTCCTAGGATTTGGACTTCTTTATTTTATTATTTTTTAAAGATTTTATTTCTTTTTAGGCAGACGGGAAGGGAGGGAGAGAGGGAGACAAGCAGGATCGGTGGCCTCGCGCGCGCCCCACCCGGGGACCCGGCCCGCACCGCAGGCACGTGCTCTGGCCTCTTGGTTCACGGGAACCAAGATCATGCGGTACTTGTCCCCCGGGCCCCCCTTACCTCACTTAGCGTGATGCCCTCCAGGCCCACCACGGTGTCGCAAAGGGCGAGCTTTCCCTTCGTCGTGGCTGAGTCCTATTCCACTGTCTGCCGCTGCCGCTGCATCCGGCCATCCGCCGGTGGGCACTGAGCCGCTCCCACGTCTCGGCCACTGTGAATAAAGCTGCAGTGAGCACGGGGTGCAAATGTCGCTTCGGGTTCCAGGTTTCGTTTCTTTCAGATAAACACCCGGAAGTGGAATCACTGGGTCCTAAGGCAGTTGTATGTTTAATGTTTTTAAAAATTTTTATCAATTTCTTTTTAGAGGGGAAGGGAAGGAGAAAGAGAAGGAAACATCAGTGTGTGGCTGCCTGTTACGCGCCCTCACTGGGGACCCGGCCCACGACCCAGGCCTGCGCCCTGCCTGGGAGTCGAACCGGCGACCCTTTGGCTCGCCATCCGCTGAGCCACACCGGCCAGGGCTATTTTTAGTGTTTCGAGGAACCTCTACTGCCTTCCGCAGTGGCTGCACCAGTCTGCATTCCCACCAACGGTGCACGAAGGCGCCCCTTTCTCCATATTCTCACCAGCACTTGTTGTTTGTGGATTTATTGATGATAGTCTGACAGATGTGAGGTGATAGCTCACTGTGGATTAGATTTGCAATTTTCTGATGATTAGTGATGTTGAGCATCTTTTCATGTACATGTTGGTTATTTGTATGCCATTTTGGAGGAATATTCATATTCAGGTGTTTTGCCCATTTTTAAACTGGGCTTTTTTTTTTTTTTTGCTCTTCAGTTGTGGGGGTTCCTAATATATCTTGGACATTCACCACTTTATCAGGTAGATGGTTTGCAGATGGTTTCCCCACTCCTTTAGGTGCCTTCTCACTCTGTTGATGGTTGTTTTGCTGTTGGCATATTTTCTTAAACCTCTACACATCTAGTGGTGGTGTTGTATTTTAAAACCTACATACATGTCATACATACTACTGATACTCTGTGCGTAACAGTCCTACTCACCCTTACAGCTTTGTCATCCGTCTGCACGATGATGTGTCTTATCCCTTTCAAATGCCTCCTCCCGGGTAATAGACATTGAGGTTGTTTCCTTTTCCTTGTGGACAGGCGTATGCTGGCATTCTTGCGTGTCATCTTGTGTAATGAGGGCACATGGCTAGAGTTAGGTTCCCTAACGGGTTTGCACGCTTTCGGCCCCACAAGCTAGCGTCAGAGGGGTTCACGGGGTGACGACGTGGTTTGTGCTCCTGGCAGAGGGCTCAGAGTCTCCGTGTTTCCACATGTCTTCAGTGTGTGGTATTGTGAGGTCTTTGTACAACATGGGGCAAAAGTAGGTTCACAGTTTTAGTACATGAAACAGCTTATTCTTCTATTAATGTTTATCGATTATTGTATTATTTTCCATAGGAACAATTGTACGCATATTACTTTTGTTCCACCCTGTATTTCACCAATCTATGGAGAGAGGTCTGGTTTTAATTTGCATTTCCCTCATTTTTACTGACATTGAAAATCCTTTCAGATGTTTATGGACAGTTTATTTCTTTATTTGCAATTTAGCAGGTCCCATGTTATGTTCATTTTTTAAGTTGAATAGTCTTTTTTGGGTACTTTAATATATTGTATATTTATCTTTGTTACCTACGTTTGGTTAAAAGACAGCTGGTCTTTTAATTTTGTCATGTCTCCTACCGGAGTTTTTTTTAAAGATTTTATTTATTTATTTTCAGAGACGGGACGGGAGGGTGAACGAGGGAGAGAAGCACTGACCTGCTGCCTCCCAGCTGGAGACCACACCTGCGGCCCAGCACACGCCCTGACCGGCAGCCCTTTGGTTCGCAGGGTGACGCTCACCCACTGAGCTACACCAGCCATGGCCCCTGTTTTTTTGATGGAGTAAAACGGAACATTTGTCTTGATGTTTTCCACATATTATTATAATAGCTATAAACATTAAAGAAAATACTTAGGTCTTCAACCAGCCTGATCTATATTTTTGCATGCCATGGAAGTCAGGAAGCTAACTTGATTTTCCTACGGGAACCAGGGGTGCTAGCACCCTGTACTGAATGCTACCTGTTTGGTGATGTGGCCGGTGTGTTGTTAATGCACATCCCGTAAGGGTCCCACAGCCTGCGGTAAGTCCTGATGCCTGGAGGGCACACCTCTGACCACCTTGCTGGGTTTTTGGCATTTCTGTGGTTAATCTTGGGTCACACTCTTATCATATTTAGAGTCATTTTTGTCAGATTTTGTGATAGGTCTTGTAATTTTTTAAAAAGGACTCTTTTTATTTGTTTTTAGAGAGAGGAGAAGGGAAGGAGAAAGAGAGAGACATCGGTGTGATGTGCTGCTGACTGGGGACCCAGCCCTCAACCCAGGCCTGTGCCCTGACGGGGAATCACACTGGCGACCTTTTGGTTCTCAGGCCGGTGCTCAGTCCACCGAACCACACCAGCCAGGGCTGGCCTGTTGTAATTTTGATTACACTGAATTAGCAGGTTCATCAATATTTTTATGATATTGAGTCCTGTTTATGAACATTGTCTGTTTCTCCATAGGTCTTTTTAATGTCCTCCAATAAAGTTTTATCATTTTGTCCACCAAGTGCTTACACATTTTTTGTTAGCTTTCTTAGGGGCCGTATAGTAGTGAGTGCCAGGTTTTGCGTGCTGATTGCAGCTGTATCTCCGCAGTACTGATCCGTGTGTGCCGACCTTGTATGTGGCAGTCCTGTCAGACTGCCGACAACGGGTCGATACTCTTGGCTTTTCTCTGTGGATCTTATTCTCAAATAATGGTGATTTTATCTATTCTCTTCCAGTCCTCATGGCATTTCTTTTTTCACTGTATGGAAACAGACTCAGATGCTTGGAAACCAAGCTCTTCGGCCATACTGGGAACCACCGCTGTGTGTGTGGTATGTACTTAGTCTCCTTTTCTGTTTTTTGTAGTGTTTCCTTTCTCCTCTCTGCGCCCCTGACCAGACCCCCACATTGGACCTGCCAGATGTTTGTGTTTTATTAGCATTTTCAAGGAACCAGTGCTGAGATTATTTTCTGTTGAGATTACGTTCTCCTTTATTTCACCATCTTTCCTTGAATTACTTTATTATTCTGTGTCTAATTTCTTGTTGAGTGTTTAGATCATTTATTTCAGTCTCTCTTGTGTTCAAGTAAGCACATTAATGATGCATGTTAGGGTGGTCGGTGACGCAGGTGGTGAAAGAATTCACAAGGAGAAGAAAGGACAGAGAGCAGGGTTTTATTTTCCCGAGAGGGAAGGGCTGCGTACAGAGACGGGCACCAGCCCCGAGGGGTCTGGGCTTTGGGCCTGTGTCAGGTAATGGGATGGTTGTACAGCAGAGAGTTTCAGTGGGGCTGCAGCTTGTTTCGATGTTGCCTTGGGTGGGTGGTCATGGTGGTCTGGCATGTCCTGTTTCCAGTAATTTTCTAGTCCTGAGGATAAAGGCTCATAAAACAATTAGAGTCAGTAATGCTTTATGGGGTCCAGCCAGCTCTGGGAAAGAGGGCCTGAGAAAGTGGCTTTTGTCCTGTTAATGCTCATTTTTCCTTAGGGAGCCTTTGTTAACATTTCCACCCTATTTTCCATTTCCATGTTTTTCTTGGAGGAGAGTACTTTTAAAATCATGGATTTCTAGTATAACAACAGTATGGTCAGAGACTATTTTGCCAAATGGAACAGCCATTGGAATTTGTTGACACTTTTTTTTTTTTGGCCTAGTATGTAGTGTTTAAAAAAAAAATTCAATGTACATCTTGAAAAAAAAGTGTATTCTCCATGCTTTAGGTGAAATTGTCTGTTGATCCACAGGTTCCTCTGGGAAGTGTGATAAAATCTGTCATTCCAGAGAGGGCCGCCAGCAACTCTCTGCTTAGTCGGTTAGCTCTGGCTGTCTGCATTTGAAAGTTTGTTGATAGATACACACGTTTGTAATGACAGCTTCTGGGTGTGTTTTTTCTATTTTCAATATGCAGTGTTCATTTTCGTTGCTATTAATGATTTTTGTTTTAAGTTCTGTTTGGACTGGTGTAACTCTCAGTAAACCACATGCGGCAATGCACGTTAAGGTCAGCAGCACCACGCCGCGGGGGCCAGCACCGAGCAGTGCAGCGGCGCAGCCCCCCGGGCAGACCGGGCAGAGGCACAGTGGTGCTGCTGGAGTCTGGGTGCTCCCTCTGCGTCGGGGCACGGGGTCTGTGTGCCGCTCCAGCACAGAGCTGCTTTACTTTCCCTGGCGCTTGTCTGTCATGTCTTATATTCATTCCGTCTGTACTGCTTCATTTTAGGTTATACAGGTACCTTTCATGTGTCTAATGGAAAGGTCTCGTGCGTCTCTTGGGTGAGTTTAATCCTTTTATTTCTCAGTATCACTCATCCATGGGATTTGTTTCTACTCATTTCTTATTTTTACCTTCTATGCTCGGTCTTCACTCTGTGCCTTCTATTGATTTTTTAAAAGATTTTATTTATTTATTTTTAGAGAGAGTAGAAGAGAGAGAGAAAGAGAGAGAGAGAGAACATCAATGAGTAGTTGTCTCTCGCATACCTCCCCAACCGGGAACCTGGCCTGCAACCCAGGCAGATGCCCTGACCGGGAATTGAACCAATGACCTTTAGGTTTGCCCCCGATGGCCAACCCACTGAACCACTCCATTCAGGGCTATCGATTCGTTTGTTTTGTTTCTTACATGTTTTTCCTCCTGAACCCTTAATGTGTTGTCTTTATCCTTTCACGTAAAGGGAGTGAGCATCTCTGTCCTCCTCCTGAGTGAGACCGTTTAGTGTGCCAGGGAGGAGGAGGGGCAAGTGACCTGGTCAGCTCTGCTCTGCTCATGCAGTGGGGGCGGGAAGTTTGCTGGGAGGCCAGCTGTGCCGAGGGAATGAGCGGGCCCTGAAGCCACATGTGGGAGGGGCCAGGCTGGACCTCCATGTTTTCTTCTGTCTTTCCTCAGCACCTGAGTGACTGGCTCCTGCCTACCTCCCCCAGGAAGCCCAGGAAACCACGTGATGGCAGCTCTGCACCTGTGTGCCGTGTCCCAGGTGAGTTTCCATCCTCCCTGGGTGATGTGAGGTCTCCACCCAGGGCTTCTACCTCTGCTGTGCCTCAGCAGATATCTCTGGCCTGGGCGCTGAGCAGTGGAATGGTGATCTCGGGACTTGCCCAGCTGCCCTGAATGGGCTGGCTCAGCAGCCAAAGGGTCAGACCACCTGCCGGGGCCGTGCTGGGGGGTGGGGGGGGGGGGTCGGGCCTGCAGACACTCTGCTGTGCGCTGAGTGTGCTTTTACTGCCCCGCCCCCAGGGCCCCGTCTGAGCCTCACTGGTCTTGCAGCAGCCCCTGTCATTCCAGGCCAAGGTGACTTTCGAGGACGTGGCTGTGCTCCTCTCCCCAGAGGAGTGGGGATGTCTGGGCCCTGCTCAGAGGGGCCTCTACAGGGATGTGATGCTGGAGACCTACAGGAACCTGGTCTCTCTGGGTAAGGCCCCTCACCAGGATGAAGCTCAGGGAACAGCCCTGGGCACTGAAGGCTCACAGGGGCTGGGCTGGGCTGGGGAACTCATCCCTGGGCCCAGAGACAGGTTTGGTCCATGCCCAGGAGGAGCTTGGTGGGACTGGGCCAGGCTCTCCCTCCTCTGAGCTCCTGGTTCGACTCTGCCTGCCCCAGGCCCAAGGCAGATCGCTTCCCAGGGAGGCTGGAAGCTGTGCAGCACTGGTGGGGCAGGCCCCCTGCCCTGCTGTTCCCTGCGTTCAGATCTTTACCTCCATAACCACCCCAGCCCCCCAGGGTGTCCTGACTCCCCATCTTCCCCTCCCCTTCCCTTCCCCTCCCCCTGCAGGCCCCCAGCCTTGTATCCTTGACACCAACACCAGGCCCCATCTCCTTCCCAGGAGCTGGACCTGCAGGTCCCAAGCCTGGGGTGATCACACAGCTGGAGCGAGGGGATGAACCGTGGGTCCTGGACACGCAGGGTGCCGAGGGGAGTGAACGGCTGGGAGTCAATGGCTCAGGTGCGCGAGGGGCTGGTTCCCTCACTGGTCACTGAACAAGCATTTGTGGGGTCCAGAGTATGCAGCTAGTGACTGAGGAGTTCGTGGAAGATGTATCTGGGCCAGTACAGCAGCTCTGGGAGTGGCCTCTGCTGAAACCCCCATACACCTGAGTGCCTCGGCAGGATGACCCTTGAGCTGAATCTTCCAGGCAGTGAGAGGGACAGTGCTGGTGGAGAGAGAAGGGCATCATGGCGCGCTGTGCGGGGGCCTGGGCCCATGGGACCCCGGGGAGCCCCGCCTCAAAGCTCAGCACTAGGAGCAAGCGGGGTCACGTGGGCCTTGCTGCTTCACCGGCTCCCCAATCCCCGAGCATTACAGGGAAACGAGGGATGGCACAGCACCCCATGTGCTGTAGTCCACACCTGCTGTGCCCGTTCCAGCCCTGTGCGGTCCACGCTTGTCACTCAGTGAGTGTCCGTTTCTGTGCATAAGAACCTCAGTCACTGCTGTTGCTGGAAGTGCCAGCCTGTAGGGTGTTCTCGTGTCACCGAAGTGCACCGTGCTGCCCCGGTGCTGCCCATCTGGATAATGTCCTAGGAAGGAACTCCAGGTTCAAAGGACTTGCATTTCTCTTTTATAAATTTATATATTTGAATATACTTACAGACATAGGACAAACCCTGCGTTTATACAGCTCAGTAAATTTTTACAAAAAAATCATGCTACAGATCAACATACGGAATGTTTCTGATTGGCCAGGAGCCTTTGGGTCTCCTCCCTCACTTCTTGCTGCACCCTGCAGTCCTTTCCCTCTGAGGCCTGGGCCTTGTCAGCTAGATGCGTGTAAGCATCAGAGCTTTGGTCTCTGTGTTGCCTCGAGTTTGTTGTGCATCATTGCGGTAGTGTTCTATTGTGAACATAGAAGTTATTTTCTGTTATATCGCTGAGGCCACTGAGTTATCCCCATTTTGGGTTGTTGTGTCTCTTGGCTCACAGAGAACATGCTTTTGGTGGGTATGTTCCTGCCCGTGGAATCGATGAGTGTGTGTCTGGTCAAGGAGCGGAGGGGGCAGCCTGCCTGAGGGCATCAGGAAGCATTCTGGGTGGCATCTTGAGTTTAAGGTACCAGTGGCCTCTTGTGCCCCAGGAAAGAGCCCTGGAATGGGCGTGGCCCACTGGGAGAGCCAGGGCCCCCAGCCCCTGGGAGCATTGCCCTCCTCCTCTGTGGTTGACATGGGCTTGGCCCCCTGCCCTCCTGGGGAGGCAGCTGATTTTCTTGGCATGAATTAGGTGGCCTTAGACTTGCTTGGCCTCAATTTCTTTGTTTTTCAAATGCCCTCCATGACTTTGGTCCTCTCCGTTCTCTTTGTAGTGTGGACAGGCACCCTACTGTCCCACTCTGGCAGGTTTGGGGACAGAAAGCAGGCAGGAAGGGCATGGGTACTGATCAGACCTCTGGTAAATACTTACAGTGCCGCATGACTGTGACCCTGGGTGAGATTTTTCAGCCTCCAAGCTCCAGCCTCTTCACTCTGGAAGGTGTTTTGACTTTGGAGACAGTGGAATTTGTACTGCACTGGTGGTTGGCAGCATCTTTGTTCCTTCCTTCCAGAGTGAGAACAGGTGACCCCGAGATGCTCTTTTTGTTGTTTCAGCTCATGGGATCAGCACTGAGTACAGGGAGTTGACTTCAGGGGAGATGCTTGACAGGGCAGAACTGGACCGACTCAGGGGAACTGTTTCCCAGGGACCTGAGCCAGGAGAAGCCTGTACACCTGTTGGGGAGCTGGAGGAGAGCCTGGACCAGCCCATGGAGCTGGGAGGCCCCCAGCCAATCACACTGACCAGCAGAGAGAGCAGCCGGGAGTCTGGGGGAAGACTCCGGTTGGGTTCAAGCCCTGTCCCTGATTACAGATCTCACAAATGCAATATATGTGAGCAAAGTTTTGAACAGAGATCATATCTAAATAACCATAAGCGTGTACACAGGTCAAAACAAACAAATATGGTTCATGATTCTGGGGAAATCTTCAGTGCAAATGTGGTTGTTAAAGAAGATCAGAAAATTCCTGTTGGGAAAACAGTGCATTACTGTGGTTACTGTAGGAAAGCCTTCAGGTACAGTGCAAACCTCGTCAAGCACCAGCGGCTCCACAGTGCGGAGAAGCCCTACAAGTGTGATGAGTGTGGGAAAGCCTTCAGCCAGAGCTGTGAGTTCATCAGTCACCGAAGGGTGCACTCGGGGGAGGTCCCCTACCGGTGCGACCAGTGCGGGAAGATGTTCAACCGGAGGCCCAACCTGATGAAGCATCAGAGGGTCCACACTGGGGAGAAGCCCTACCAGTGCAGTGAGTGTGGGAAACACTTCAGTGCCTACTCTTCCCTTATTTATCACCAGCGAATCCACACTGGAGAGAAACCCTACAAGTGCAGCGACTGTGGGAAAGCCTTTGGTGACAGCTCAGTCCTTATCCGCCATCGTCGGACTCACACTGGAGAGAAGCCATTTGAGTGTAAGGAATGTGGCAAAGGCTTTACCCAGAGTTCTAACCTTATCCAACACCAGAGAATCCACACTGGAGAGAAGCCCTACAAATGTAATGAATGCGAGAAAGCCTTCATCCAAAAAACCAAACTTGTTGAACATCAGAGAAGCCACACTGGAGAGAAGCCCTATGAGTGTAATGACTGTGGCAAAGTCTTCAGCCAGAGCACACACCTCATCCAGCATCAGAGGATCCACACGGGGGAGAAACCCTACCAGTGCAGCGACTGTGGAAAGGCCTTCCACAACAGCTCCAGACTCATCCATCACCAAAGGTCGCACCATGGAGAGAAGCCGTACAAGTGCAGCGATTGCAAGAAGGCCTTCAGCCAGGGTGCTTACCTCACCCAGCACCAGCGGATCCACACCGGGGAGAAGCCCTACAAATGCAGTGAGTGTGGCAAGGCCTTCCGGCACAGCTCCAACGTGTTCCAGCATCAGAGGATCCACCTCCGGGAGGACTTCTCCACCTGACGCTGAAGGCCCCGGAGTTCTGCCAGGCACTTCCACAGCCCCGTTATTTAGTGGCCGCACAGGGTTGCCACAGGTGAAAGGCATTTCTGTTAAATTTTTAAAAACCTCTTAAACCAAAGCAGTGCATGCTCATTTGAGAGAAACTGAGGAAGGCAAGCAAAAAGGAGAGGCTCCTATACTCTTTCCTTCTTAGAAAAAGAAAATTCAATTTATCAGAAACTAATAAAGTATTCTCTAAAGGGTTAAAAAAAGAAAAGAAAAGTCATCACTGCTGACTTAGTGTGTTTCCTCTCAGACACTGAGGAGCCCTTTGAGAGGTGTCTAAATATTTTAAAGAAAATACTGTTATGCTTGTCATTGCAGCACCCAGGACTGTTACCTTTGCTCTTTCCTTAATGCCAGAAAATTCACACTGGACAGAATTCCACATATTTACATATAGCAAATTTTTAAAAATTAACATAAGTCATACTTTTCCATGTACTTAATAGAGTGGATGATTGCATTTTTTATTGTGTTAAAATATACATAAAATAAAATTTACCATTTCAGCCATTTATAGTGTACAATTCAGAGGTATTAAATACATTCACAGTGTTGTATGACCATCATCATGTCTATTTCCAGGACTTTTATTATTGCAAACAGAAACTCCGTGCCCATTAAACAGTAACTCCATCTTCCCCTTTTCTGTGCCACTGGCAACCTCTGTTCTATTTTCCACCTCTGAATTTACCTATCTAGGTCCCCATACAAGTGAAATCATACAGTATTTGCCTTTTATGTCTGGTTTATTTCACTTAGCATAATAAATGTCCTTAAAGTTCATCCATGTTGTAGCCTGCATCAGAATATTAATCTTTTCTTTAGATTTTGCTTTTCAGAGAGAGGGTAAGATAGGGGGAAAGACAGGGAGAGAAACATTGATCAGTTTCCTCTCAAACGCCCTAACTGGGGACCCAGACCACAACCCAGGCATGTGCCCTGACCGGGAATCGAACCAGCAGGCTTTCAGTTCACAGGCCAGCACTCAACCTACTGAACCACACCAGGCAGGACCAGAGTGTTATTCTTTTTTTTTATGACTGAATAATATACCATTGTTTGTAGGCACTACATTTTGTTTTCCATTTATATGTTGAGAGACACTTGGGTGTTTCTACCTTTTGACTATTGTGCATAATGCTGCCGTGAGCACTGGTGTACAGGTATCTGTTTGAATTCTTACTTGCAATACTTTTGGGTATAATCCTAGGAGTGAAATTGATGGATTTTTATCATAAATCTATGTTTAAGTTTGAGGAACAGCCAGACTGTTTTCCACGTTGGGTGTACCATTTTTATATCTCCACTAGCAATGCATGGAGGTTCCAGTTTCTCCACATCCTTGTCAACACTTGTTATTTTTCATTTTTTCAAATAATAGCTGTCCTAATGGATTTGAATTGGTGTCTCACTGTGGTTTTGGTTTGCAATTTTCTAATAACTAATGATGTAGAGCATGTTTTCAGATGCTTTTTGGCCATTCATATGTCTATTCAGTTCTTTTGCCCATTTTTGAATTGGGTTCTTTTGTTTTCTTATTGTTGAAATGTGGTTCTTTATACATTTTGTATAGTAAATCCTTGTCAGATGTATGATTAGCAAATATTTTTTCACATTCTGAGTTGTCTGTTTACTCTCTGGATAGTTCCCAAGTTTCATGTCTTTATTCATGTTCTCATTTTGTTCATATATTATTTAAGACTGTTGACTTGCCCTAGCTGGTGTGGCTCAGTGGATTGAGCGCCAGCCTGATAATCAAAAGGTCGCTAATTCAATTCCCAATGCAGGGCACAGGCCTGGGTTGCAGGCCAGGTCCCCAGCAGCGGCTGCCCGTAGTGCAACCACACATTGATGTTTCTCTCCCTCTCTTTCTCCCTCCCTTCCCCTCTCTAAAAATAAATAAAATCCAAAAAAAAAAAAATCTTAAAAAGAAAAGACTGTTGATTTAACACCCTAATTAATAATTCTGTTATCTGGGCTTCCTCAGGTATGATTTATGCCAAATTCTTTTTTTTTCCCTCTGTGATTGGGACATATTTCCTGTTTCTTTGTATGTTTTCTTGTTGTTGGGAACTGGGCATTTTGAGTATTCTGTTGTGGTTATTCTGGAATACTACGTCTCCTACCCCTCAGGGATTGCTGAATCTTGCTTGTTGAGGGCTGTAGCAATCGGTGACTTTTCCAAGCTTCCTGCAAAGCATGTATTCTTTGATGTGTTGATGTGTGTGGCCCCTGAAATTCCTGTTTCATTCTGTGTATGACTGCCCAGTGACCTGAAAAAGATCCTTAAATGTCTGGTTCCCAAAGGAGGAGGAAACAAGTATTATCTCCTTAATTCTCCCTGGAAACTGCTTCAGCAGTTAAACAATGGCAGCAAATCCTGTGCCAGCCTTTCAGTGATCAAAAGTGACGATCAGCCCTGGCTTGGTAGTTCAGTTGGTTAGTGTTGTCCCAATAGCCAAGGTTGTGAGTTCAATCTCTGGTCAGGGAACATACAAGAACCAGTGAATGCATGCAAAAGTGGAACCAAATTTTTTAAAAAAATCGATGTTTTTTCTCTCTCCCCCCCTTCCTCCCTCTCTTTAAAAGTAATTTTTAAAAATATTGTCAGTCATCCATGAAAACACACAACCCTAATATTTGGAGGACAAGGTCCTCATTGCCCTCCCTGGCTCCAGCGAGCTGCACCAGGAACACAGGCCGCTATCTGCTTATTTGCATGCCATGGGGCTGAGGGAAGGGCACAGGAGGTGTTATGCTAACTGTGGAAGTTCATGAAATTTGCTGAAGTTGACTGTCCCCTTCTTCAGGCTCTCCTGGGCCGCAAGCATTTGTCTAATCTCCAGAGTTCCACAATAGCTACTTCTGATGGTTCTTGCTGCTCGGTAGTAGTTTAGGTGGAGGGACAGGTTCCTGGGCTTCCGATTCTGCCGTCTTCTGTGACTCTCTGGTAATTGTCTTTATTTATTTACTTCCTTACTTACTTACTTATTATTTTAAAACCAGAACATTTATTGTGCAACTAGTCATTGAAAGCTTTGAGATGAACTTGATGCTGTGACAGCTGCCCTCTTGGGTTTAGATGTTGTTCCTTCACAGAATCCGACTGAACCTGTGGTGTGTGATTTTCAGATGCTTCATGGGACCCAGTCCCAGTGGCTTTTCGTCGTTTCGCCTTGGCCCTCCAGTTATCCTTCCTCTTCTGCTTCGCAGGGTAGCCCACCTGCTGCAAATGGGCTTCTGAAGGTCACAGCCTTCAAGCACCGCAGTGACAGTGTGTGCGTCTTGTGGTGGTGCCAGCTGAAAGATGACGTCCCCTCCATAATTTCGCTTCTGCAGCCAAGACCAAAGAGCTAATTGCTGTTATAGTAGCAGCAAAATTTGTATCTATAATAATTAACATAGTTTAGTAAGGTCAAAACTATGAACAATAAAATGGCAACAAATACATATCTATCAACAATTGAATCTAAAAAAATAATTGACATAGTTTATAAAATGTTATTTGGACATATTTCACAGTGACTAATTTCAGGTCTTTAACTTAATTTTTTTTTAATTATTTATTAAAGATTTATTTTTAAGAGAGAGGGGAACGGAGGGAGAAAGGAGTAGAGAAACATCCATGTGTGGTTGCCTCTCAAGTGCCCCCTACTGGGGGCCTGGCCAGCAACCTAGGCATGTGCCCTGACTGGGAATCAAACTAGCAACCCTTTCATTTACAGGCTGGGGCTCAATCCACTGAGCCACACCAGCCATGGCTAACTTAATTTTTGTAATTTTTAAAATTATGTCTTTAGGATATATTCCTAGGAACACGGTGAACTTCAAAGGACATTGATGTATATATACAAATGTTTTCCAGAGTGGCTGTACCCAATATATAATGTCACCAGCACAGCCTTCCAGGACACACCGTTGACTAAGCATGGTCTGATCATACAGCCTCCCGCACTGCACGCTGTAATTTTAACCTCTGCTTGCTAACTGAATTGGCACCACTTTGTGGCTCGCATTGCGTTGGATTGATGACTTGGGTAACCTACATTTCTTCATGGTGGTGTCAGTGGCAGTCATACCCGTCACTGCTTTTGGCCCAGATGCTCTTCCATTGGGCTGTTTGTAAGAACCTTCTGGGACCCCTCATCCCATCAGCCTGGATGTCCCCTGAGCCAGTGGCAGCCCAAGTGACTGTGACCTCCTTGAAGGGAGCACCAAAGCCCTGGGTGGGAGGGCTGCAGAGACGGGCAGGGTAGTGGGGAAGTGCAGTCCGAAGCATATTTAATGGTGGTATAATGTACCTCGAGGAGGAAAATGCTGGTTGTTTGCATTGTGCAAAACTAGAGAACATGTTATCAAAAGTTTTCTGAGCTGCTTGTTTTGGGTTCAAGAAGGCTTGTAACATGAGCTAGTGGCATTTTTATGAGCCAAGATCAAACCTCTCTTGGGAGGTGGGTAGCATAGTCAAAGAGCCCCATGGGTTCTAGATGTTTCTGCTGGGCCATCTCGGGCAGTCACTCCTGGGCATCTGGTGGGCTGACTCCTTACAGCTGTCCTGTTGCGTCTCAGCTCACAGGAGTTCCTTCAGGAACAATGTCATCTCAGACTACGGGCTGCTTGTTGATTAATAACTGTGGATGGCTCTGGGCAGCTGACAGTGAGTTAGATCATCTTCTGGGGTCAGAGGGTCAGACAGCAGAAGCCCGCGGCCCATCTCAGGTCAGCATCCCCAGATGGGAGGTAGTGGCACCCATCCTGTTCGGCAGTGAGGCAGGTGGGCTCACACTGACAGCATGCATTCTTGGCGCCCATGACCTAGGTCTTGGGGCTGACCCTGTGCATATCCCTGGACAGACTAACTCAGGCAGGACATCAGATTTGAGCCAGAGGGTTGCTGCAAGCTGGATCTGGGCCCTCCCACCCTTCCTTGGGGCTCGGACTGTCCGAGTGTGCCCCCTAGGTTCACCTTGAGCTCCCCCCCCCCCCGCCAGAGGTGGCCATGTGGTCCTGCCCCAGCCTGTCTCATTTTCCTGCATGCTTCCTGTAGCTGAGGGTTGAACCACTGCAAGATCCATCGGGATTGTGGGATGTTTGGATAATCCCCTTGCAGGGGAAGCATCCTTGCAGGGGTGAGCGGCTCCCTGGCGGCTGCACCTGTGCAGAGTCCCACGTGCTTGTAACATGGTCACACAGAAACTGAGTGCTGGGCTGGTCTTCCTGCAGTGATTTCATTTTCACAGTGACGCTATGACATGGATGAGAACCTGAGGCTCACGAAGGGAAGTGACTAGACTGAGGTCACAGAGAAGTTGGAGGCAGGTTCTCACTCTTGACTGCCAGTTGCAGAAAGGACTAACCTGACCCCAGGAGAGGGCTGGCTTTTGCCTGGTAAGAGTGTTTACCTGCTAAGTGTGATTTATGGTGGGGGCATCAGTTGGGCCTCTGGCAGGCTGGAGTCTGAGGTGTCACGCAGACAGTTGGCTGTGTGGAGCTCACCAAGCCAAGATGCCAGGAATCAGATGAGCTTTGCTGGTTGGCAGTGTCCTGCGCACATTGTCACACATAGGTGCCAGGAAAGAAAAGCAGACTGTGACTTCCCATGGAGAGGACCACGGAATCTCTGCATTTGGTACTTTTCCCAGATTCTGCCCCGTATGATCCCTTGGCTGATTGATTTTTATGTCTGTTCTCTGTACTACACAGTAATCATGTTGTATCAGCTTTCAGGGTGAGTTGAGTCAATGTAGCAAATTATTTAACTTAAGGGGGGAAACCTAGGGTGTTAGAAGTGAGGGCAAGTCTTGGGGACTCCTGAACTTCACACCAGGTCTCCTGTATTTCTCAGCCCAGAAACTTTCACACATGAAACGGTGTTTCCTGAACTCACCCAGTGGGACCATAGCAGAGACACCCAGTACCACCCTTGTGACCGTTCTCTGCCCTGGGTTAAGTCCACGCTTGGAAAGCTCCTCCTTGGCCTTCACCACCAGGCCCTCTGAGTGCAGTGTCCTGCCTTCCGAGCGTGCCCCTGCCTCTCATGCTGCCCAGCACTTGTGCAGCCAAGTCCTGGTGCAATCGTCTTCCTCACGAGATGGGTCATGTGTTGTGCCCCACACTCCGTTAAGCTGGGATGTATTAGTAACAGCAGCTGCCAGCACCGAAGCATCCCCTCCCCATGCCTTCAGAGCTCCATGTGTCATAAAATGCCCATTCCTATTTGTTTGTTGGGATTTGGCACACAAGCCTCTTTCAGGCTCTCCTGGTTGTAATTTCCCTTATTGTAGGAGACACTGACACCAAAGTTAAGTTTTTTTCCTTCACCCACAAATATGTTCTGCTCATTGCTTTTTTATTGGAAGGTATATCAGGTTATACAGTTACAAAAAAAAAACAAACTTCAGGTAGACTAAAACGTTCTCCAGATCATAAAAAATTTGAAAGGAACTGTCAAACTCTTGCTCGTTATAAAGAGAAATGCTAATGAAGAGATTTAAATACATAAAGTGTGAAGACTTTAAAATAAAAGTGTTGAGTGCTACTGACAAGTCAGAGCCGGGAAGTAATGGCCAAGAAGGCAGCTACCAGGGTGCAGGGACCACAAAGGCCATTTAGGCCTCTGATGCCACTTCCAATGGCGACCACCATATGGATCAGCAGGTGGTGCTACCTTCTGCTCCTGGAACACAAGTGCGCAGCCTGCAAGCCTCGCCAGGGAGAGGGTGTTGTGCTCACCTCCCAGCTCCATGGACACCGAGCCTGATGCTCACCAAGGGGTCCATGGCACCTGGTACAAGAAAAGTCTGAACAGTATTCTGTACACACAACAGCACAATTTAATGGAACTCTTACTCCAGTGCTGCCGGGCACATGACTAGTTCTAACTCTCCATGGATTAGGATTTGTGCCCGGTGTAGGGGCAGGCTGTGGGCGGCATGAGCAAGGACCGCAGCTGCCCTTTGTGGGGTTGATGGCGATTCCTCAGCAGTGTCTACACAGAGGACACGAGCATTTATCTGCATCACAGCGCACTGCTGGGGGCCTAAGGATCAATCCCGAGTGCTTAACTTTTCCTGAGAAGTGGGTAATGTTCTAGACAAAAGTTAAATTATTAAAAGATCCATCACAGTGTATGACAAAGGATAATACACTCTTGGAACCAGGAATTTACAAAAAAACCAAAACAAAATCCCTCAAATTTAGAAATAAAAACATTTGAGATAGGAAGAAGAGCTATTTGTATTTGAGAACTTTGTTTTAAAAATAGGCACCAAGTGTTTACGAATGTCTTCTGGAAATACCAGTGTGTTGAGGCATCCACTTGGTGTAGCAGCTGTGGCATCTGGGCCTGCATGGAGCTGGAGCTCCCCGTCTCTGCGCAAACAGGGCCCAGACGCCCAAGCCATCCCATGATTTCTGCAGCACAGGGTCTGCTGATCATAGGGTGAGTTTTGAGGAAAAGATCCATTTTTGAGTTTAATTTTTACTAAAAAGTTAGGATATCACCCCTGATCTTGAATAAAGTTAAAGCCCCAAATAAGGGTTTTATAAATTAACAGTTTCTAATGTTTACTTTTCCCCCTATACAAACAGGAGGTTCCACACACACAGGATTTTTAGGCATACTACATGACGCTACTTTGTGACACTTTTTAATAGCATTTCATCCAGACAGCACTTTAGTGGTTTAAGAAGATACTGAAAATAGTCCAATATTTTAAGTGCAATAATTAGAGTAGCCATTGTTTTTAGGAAAGGCATGAAATGTTCTAAGAAACCTTTATTTGGAATATAAGAAAGTTTTTATTGTGTCAGTAATCCTTATGCCTTCCCTTCCTTTAGTTTCAAACACATTATCTAATAATGTTAAAGAATTATGGCTGTGTTAACCAAAATTCACTACAATTATGATTACTCTCCAATATGACTTCAAGATTTTGAAAAAAATAAAACAGGCATTCTCTAAAGTTTTACCCCAGGAATAACAAGCTCAGTGCTCCTCCCTGGAGCTATTTTGTGACCCTCAATTACCACAGGGCTTCCTTGGAGCTGACAGAAGCTTCTCCTGAACAAGAGGCTCCCTGGGTCTGTGCGCCTGAGTGTGAGTAACTTGTCGCTGCTGAAGTCACAGCTTCCGGTGCACCTTCTGGTGCTGGATAAGGTGTCCGTGCTGGTTGAAGGCGCGGCCACACTCGCCGCACTCATAGGGCCGCTCCCCTGTGTGGATCCTCTGGTGCTGGATGAGCACAGAGTACTGGCTGAAGGCCTTCCCGCAGCGGCTACACTCGTACGGCCTCTCGCCTGTGTGCGTCCTCAGGTGCACAATCAGCGTGGCTTTCAGGCTGAAGGCCTTGTCACACTGTGTGCAGCGGAAGGGCCTCTCACCTGTGTGGATTCTCTCATGCTGGACCAGGGACCTGCGGGCACTGAAGGCGTGCCCACACTCGCTGCACACGTAGGGCTTTTCTCCAGTGTGGACCCGCTGGTGCTGGATCAGGTGGGAGTGCTGCACGAAGGCCTTGCCACAGGCATAGCAGCCGTAGGGCTTCTCCTCAGTGTGGATCCGCTCGTGGTTCATCAGCGTGGAGCGGTGGCTGAAGGCCTTGCCACACTCCCCGCACTCATAGGGCTTCTCGCCTGTGTGTACATTGTGGTGCTGGATGAGGACCGAGCGGTCACTGAAGGCGCGCCCACACTCGCTGCAGGAGTACGGCTTCTCCCCCGTGTGCACCCGCTGGTGCTGCAGCAGGGTCCTCTTCACGCTGAAGGCCCGGCCACACTCCGCACACTCGTGCGGCTTCTCCCCTGTGTGTACTCGTTGGTGGCTGCGCAGCACAGTGCTGTGGTTGAAGGCCTTCCCGCACAGCGGGCACACGTAGGGCCGCTCCCCTGTGTGGATCCGCTGGTGCTGAATGAGGTGTGAGAGCTGAGTGAAGGCCTTGCGGCACTCAAGACACTCGTGGGGCTTCTCTCCTGTGTGGATCTTGTGATGCTGAGCGAGGTCTGAGCTCACACGGAACGCCTTCCCGCACTCATTACACTCGTAGGGCTTCTCACCCGTGTGGATTCTCCTGTGTTTGCTGAGGACCGAACTCTGGCTGAAGGCCTTCCCACACACCCCACATACGTAGGGCTTCTCCCCTGTGTGGGTCCTCTGATGCTGGAGAAGGTGGGAGCTCCGGCTGAAGCATTTCCCACACTCGATGCACTTGTAGGGCCTCTCCCCGCTGGGAGTGGCCGGCTGCCGAGTGAGTGGCTTGCTTAGGCTGGAGACCTGAACTTCGGGGGGGACCGTGGGGCTTGGACTCAGACAGAAGCTCTGCTCATGTTTGTCACTTCTTTGATCAGTCCACTCAGGGGCTGTTTTCCCCAGAACCACAGATACTTCCTCTGAAATGAACGGCTTCACACTATTTTGGTTTTCCCCCTTGTCCTCACATTCTGAAACAACACATCCAAAGGGAAAATGTTAAATGACAGTCCACTCAAACTGCAGCTCAGGTGCACCCCTGTAGGTGGCTTTGCTGCCAAGGGGGGGCCACAGAGGTGCGGTGCACCCAGCTGTATGAGCCGAAGATCGGAGAGCACAGCGGTGTCAAACGAGAGATGTGCACGTGAAAGGTGCAACCTCTAGCCTGAGCCACTCCCGTGAAAGTGCATCCGTGGCCACGGCAGCAGGTGGCAGCGCAGCGTGGCCTGAGCCCTGCCTTCCCTGGAATCCTCTGTGTACTGGGCTCCCAGAGGCCACTTGGAGAAGAAAATAAATGCAGGACCACCCACAACTGCGAGGAGCCCTGCCAGGCAGACACAACACGCACAGCCCAATCCCAGAGACACAGGAGCACACGCTCACATGGCGGGGGGCGGGGACTGTGCAGACTGCACCCCGGAGGAGACAACAGACAAGTCTAGGCCAGAGACGGGGCCTCTGAGGAAGCCACAGGAATGGCAAATTTTATCTCAATAAAACAGGAAAATATCCATCCCATCTTTGTTGCTGATGAGTAGAAGTAAAACCGAGTGTGTCTCTAACAGCATGGGTAAACACTCTTGTGAACTCTAATCCATCTTTTTCCAAGCAGACAATCCTATCAATTGTAAACAATTATTTTTCTTCTTTTCCCCAATTCTTTTAGCTTGTCTTGTTGTCTTATTTTCCACGTATCTTGCCTTCCTTAGTGTGTGAGACCCCAGGACACTACAGACACAAGGGATGGTGGGCTCCCTTGCTTATCGCCTCAAAACAGTGTGCTCAGCCTCACAACAGGGTCGGGTTAACTTCTCTTCCACACTAGTACTGTGCTTTGCTCTTTTTAGCACGTGCCAGGGAGCCCTTGAATTCTGCACGTCCCAGAAGGACGGGGACCTGGCAGGGCATAATCACCACACGTGTGTACTCACCTCCACGTGGCCTCTCCTGGCTCAGCCCTGCCAGCCCACAGGCCCCTTTGCTGGGAGTGGCCCAGGGGGGAGCCACTCCTGAAGACTCGGGTCACTGGGATGTGCTCAGCCCGCAGTGCAGGAGGGCCAGCTCCTCTCACTCACCTGAACTGCTACTGCCCAGGCCCCTGCTCTCCTTGGCCCCTTGCTCGTCCAGGACCCAGGGCTCTTCTCCTCGCTCCAGCTGGGAGATCACGTTGGGCTTGGTTCCTGGAAGTCCTGCTCACGGAGAGGGAAGGCCTTTTGTTTAGAGTGCCCCACCCCACCTGAGCAGCCTGCGGGTATGAGACAGACAGGACTGAACTCCCTCTGGAGCTGAGCCCCCCCCAGGCGACCCCAAGGCCACCAAGGTATGGCCCCGCCCCCAGGAAGCCCACAGACAGACTGTCCTGCTGAGGGGCCTTACCCAGGGAAACCACGTTCCCGTAGGTCTCCATCATCACATGTCGGTAGAGGCCCCTCTGAGCAGGGCCCAGCTGGTCCCACTCCTCCTGGGAGAGAAGCACGGCCACGTCCTCGAAGGTCACCTTGACCTGGAACGACATGGGCTACTGCAGGTCAGGCTGAGTCTCCACATCCAAGACGGAGTAGGTGCAAGCCACATGGCGTGAGGGATACCCCGAAATGGGGGGAAAGCCTGATGACACATGGGGCACCCTAGGAGCTGATGGGGTGAGAAGAAGGGGCCACAGACTCAGGGGATGTGCTGATGCTGAGGCTACCACTGAGCATGCGAGGAGATGCAGCTACACAGGCCTTGGGCAGCTCACCTGGGGCCCTGCTGGTGGTGGCAGGAGCCTGGCCGCCGCCATTGCCCAGTTCCCTGGGGTCTCTGAGGAAGATGAAACTCGGAGGAGCCTGTGAGGCTGAGGAAGAGGAAGGGGCACATGAGGGGTCTGGCCTTGCTCCACAGACCCTGACTTCCCGGAAGAGCTCTGCTCTCTGCAAGCTCCAACCCTACTGTTCAGGGGCCACAGAAACACACCGTTCCTAGGCATGGACCCGGGAGGTCATGACTTTGGCCTGGGGACGTTTGTGCCCCTGAGGGCTCTGGGCCATCCGCTCTGCTAACCTGGCCTGGCCCACAGTCTGCCCACGGGGGCCCATGCAAGAAGGTTCATGCAGGTGCCAGGCCAGGCTGCCCCAGACACAACACCCCAAAGAGGAGAGTACAGGAAGGGATGGCTCTGCTCCAGGCACACACTCTGTGGGAACCTCACCCCACACCCTGCACATTTGGCTTGACCATGACCCTCCATGGCTACACTGACACCTCAGCTGTGCCTGGCTGCCCCGTGCCCGTGGGGGTGTGGCTTCTGGTAGAACGAGCCTTAGTGCCCAGGGATTTGGTCTAAGCATCTGACAGGTAGGCCTGGGGATAGTAGATTCTGGACAAGTTAAATTGAGGTGCCTGTCCCACCAAAGTGCTGGAAAAAAGGGACCAGGAACTGTCCTGACGGAAGCAGGGTTCCCACCTTCTGGAATGTGGAGGGGGATCTGCAATGGGGCACAGAAGCCCAGCAGACAGATCGCCCCGGAGAACTTCACAGGGCACAACAGTCACCCTTCTGGAGAATGCTCCACGGGCCAGCCGGAGGGGGCGCCTTTACCCTGCTTCCTCTGCAAAACACCAGGTGTGTGGACATTTGTCCAGAAGACACACACTGAACTCACTGCAGCTGCCCCTTATTCACCAAAAATGCCCATTTCCCCCAAATTTGTGTGCATATGTGCAATAGAACTCTGATTAGAATTCCAATGGGAGTCTTTTGCAGGATGAAGAAAAACAGGGGCAAGATCTAAAGGGACTGCAGAATCTCAAAGAGCTTAGAATCTAACTTTTATTATTATTATTAGTTTGCTTTGTAAGCTAAGCTTTAGGAACTTAACACCCTTGTTTGGAGTTTCTCATGGTGGGTTTTTTTTTTGTTTTGTTTTTTGTTTTGTTTTTAGTTTAAAGCGAAGCACTGAGATGGAGAGTAGGACACTCCACAAGCAGAGCAGTCGTTTCTGATGGTCTTGGTGCAAGCACGTCTGCCCTTGCAAAGACGCCACCCACAGTGACAAGCTGTGACAGACACCCTCAGGGTCCCTGGGCCGGGCAGCTGGGCGGCTCCCAGAAATCCCTCCCTTCACCCACATCCCCCTGGCCCCAGGTTTCCCTGCTGGAATGTCCTGCCCCCTCCTGTCCACAGACAAGCACAACCGGCAGCCCTCTGGGGTCCGTGGCCACAAATACCCATCCAAACTGCCACCTTCCTTACACCAGCAACCCCTCATCAGAAAACATAGGGAAAATATTCTAGTCACAAACGGCAACGGAACACACTTAGCATTCGCTTAGAACTCTGATGCCAATCCTGCCCACTGCAGCCGCAAAGCCCTGGCGGGAGCCAGGCTGGCCTGGCTGCGAAGGGGGCTCAGGCCCCGAGGAGCAGGGCCCCGTCCAGGGTTCAAGCTGCTGGAGGGAATACGGCTCAGTAAGTGTTCCCAGGACAAAGCGTTCAGGGCTGTGGGAAAAATAAAGCCACCTTTACATAAAGCTCAACATATCTCCCAGAAAATATGTAGAACAAAGTCAAATAAACAAAAATATAGGACAAAAACAATTAGATCTAATACCATATACAGAAAGTCTAATGAATCCATTAGGCTAATTAATGAATAGGAGTTAAAATTTAAAATTACATCATAAAATAACTTGAAAAAAAATGCAGGTAAATTTCCATTAATTTCGGTAAGACGGGCATTTCTAAGCAAAATAGCCAAAGCAGAGAGCCTGGGGGATAGATCTGCTCCGTGATTTCAAATATTTATGTACATCAAAGACACCACAAAATCCAGAAATGGGTCCAAAGACATGTAAGAATTTAATACACAGCAGCGGTAGTTTTCCAAATCAATGAAGAGATGAATTATTCAGTAAGTAAATTTAGAATAGCATGATTTAGAGGAAAAGGAATGAAGCTGGATTCCAAGTTAACTCCACACCAAAAAAAAAAAAAATTCAAGACAGATCCAGAGAAAAACTAGAATTTATTGTAAAAATAATTTTAGAGTGGGGAAAGCCCTTAAAACACAAAGCCGAAAACACTGAAGGGTAAATATTTGACCATTAAATACTTGAAGTTTTCCACTTCGGAAAACCCCAAAGCAGAACAAAACGACCATTTGAGAAGAATGGTTCCAACGTACAGGGGAAATACGAAGCGGCAGATCACAGAGGAAACAGAGGCTGAAGCCCACGAGGGTGCCGACCCCACCGGTCACCGAAACGCACATCCACGCACGGTCCGTCGAGAACGCGGGGCTTCAAAAACGAGGCCCCGGCTTCGACCTCGTCACCTCCCGGTCGCCCCCCAGGGGACCGGGTGCCGCAGCCCGTCGAACGCGCGGCCGGCAGGGCAGTTCGCGGCAGAGAAAACCCAACCAGCGCCCTGGACCTCCTTTTAGGTGAGAAACAAAACAGCGCACGCAGACCCGGGAAGAACACAAAGCAAACCAGCCAGGCCTCCTCCGCGCGCACGACCGCGCGTCGCGGAGAGTGACTCTCACTTTTTCTATTTTCCTGACATGCTTGTATTTTTAGAAAACCATTACACATTGCCTACCACATTATAAAGCAAATGGAAACACGCAAAACATTTGCAAACTATGTGAGACAGGGTTGGTCTCATTCATTAAAAAGGGCCCTCACAAAGTCACGGGGAAAAGACAGCGCCCGGAGGAAACGCAGGGAGGGTGTGAGATCCGGCGAGACGCACTTCTGCTCCCGAGCCCCCGCGGCGGCTTCCGGCGAGCCGGGGGCCGCTCCGGACGCCCCTCCAGGCTGACCACCCTGCCCGGGCATCCGCGCCCGCCCTCCCCGCCCAGACCTCGCCGAGACCCCCGGCTCCCTTCCAACCCGCCAGGGCTCGCCGCCCGCGGGAGGGGGCCGGGGCGGCGCAGAGGCTGGGGCGGGGGATGAGGCTCTGGGGTTCGGGAAGGGGGCTGCCGCGCGTCCTAGCGGAAGGGTACCGGCGGAAAGGGAAGGAGCAGTGGGTGCTCCCGGGGAAGGACCGGATCCGTGCAGAGGCCGCGTCGGCTCCCGCGTCGGTGAGGGGAGAGGGTCCCGGCCCGCCGGAGCGAACCGGCCCTGACTCACCGACCGCACCACAGCCTCGCGCGAAGGGCTGGCCCACTGCAGCGCACTCGGACAAAGGGGACGCCCCGCCTCGTCTGCGCAGCCACCAATCCCTGGGGACTCCGCCTCCTCAGTCCCCGCCCACTCACCTGGACCACCAATCCTAGAGCGCAACATCTCCCAGGCCCACTGTCTTACCCCTCCCCCCTCCGGCGCCTTTCGCCTAACGGACTGCCGAGCTGCGAGCTCTGGAGCCACGGAAAGCCGAGGCCTCCGCACCGCCTAGAGAGGCCACACCGCGCCCTGGCCTCGCACTGGCCCCACTTCCGGCGGCCTCATAAGAGCTTCCGGTGCCCCCCCCCCGCCGCCAGCGCGCCCCCTCCCTTCCCAGCCCTGCACGGTCCCTTAGGGTAGCGGCTCCCTCGTCATGCAGAAATTGTGGCCTTCGCGCCAGCGGGTCCCTGCTCCGCTGGCGGGGGTCGCCACTTCCTCCGTGGCGTAGCTTCTGGTTGCTGTCCCGGCACCCGGCGAGCGTCTGACAGTGGTCGCCATGCGTGACGGTGACCGCCTCGTGGTCACCCCCGCTGGTGTTTTTGGGGGGGCTGGGGGCGGACCGCGACGCAGACGCGACCTCCGAGCGGCGGCCCAAGGGGGCCTGTCCGGGCTGCTGGAAGGAGCCATGGGCTTGAGACCCTCCACCTGCCTCGTGTGGCGTGGGTCTCAGAGCGTTCAGGAGGAGCCAGCGAGACAGGTCGGTGCTGAGGGGTTCGGTCCGCCCCGGGCCCAGGCAGGAGGTCAGCGGGAGGACACGCGCGGTTCTGCGGAGAGGCAGCCGGGGACGCCGAGCCGGTGCTCCACCAGTGTGAGCGGCAGCTTTTTCCAGGGAACGCCGTATAGCCCACGCCCCGGTGGAGCAGGGTCCCCGCTGCCAAGGGACTGAAGCTCGGGGCCAAGGTCGTCCCGGAGGGCTTTGCCAGTTGACAGTGTTAAAGTAGACAAGGAGGCCGTTAGTCTGAGGGGCTTTCATGCCTTGAAACTCCAGCCAGGCTTCCCAGACAGTCAACAATTGCTGTGCTTTGCCTCTGCATCTCCTCTATGAAAACCTCTCCCCAGCTCCCCTCCGCAGAGCGCTCGGTTTGGCGCTGCCCGGTTCCAACCTACGTTTGCTCAGGTAAACTCTTCCAAATTTTAATGGAAGAGTTTAAAATGTACCTCGGTTTACCTTTAACAACGGAGAGTGAGCTCCGTCCCAGCAACCGTGGTCCCAACAGAGAACTGATGCATCTGGGACCCAGCACACTGCTTTCTTGGTCTCCTCGACAACTTTTTATTTTGCAAATGTTCACATACTGATAAAAGTTGAAAGAATAACATTGCGAACTCCCGTGGGCACTTAGATTCAACAAGTAACATTTCCCTTAGTTTTTCTATCATTTCCCCAGCACATCTTTTTGTGCCGAGCTCCCCCACCTCTTCCCCGGCTCTGCTTCAGCAGCACAGTGTTTACTGAGCGCCTGTGTGCGCCGAGCTGTTCTCGAGATAGGCACAGGCACCGTTCCCAGTGAATCCGCCGCTGGACCTCACAGGTGAATGTCAGAGGGCTCAGTGCTGTGACAGGTCTGAGAGGCACCACTGCCTCTCACACGTCCCTTGGCTCACTGGGTGGCACGAAACAGCAATGGGCCACACACACTTTCTTTTGGATCCTTCAGCTTCCTTGGCTCCTGGCTGTGTTTAGCTCAATGACAGAAAGCTCCCACTCCTTCAGGACACCCACACCATCAAGGAAAACATGCTTTTCAGCCCACCCTGGACTCCAGCGTATGACCACCGGCCCCAGCTTGTCCCCCTGCCCACTTTACATCCCTTCCCAGTTTCCTGTCCTGACCCAGCACTAGGACCTGCCCAGCCATGTCCTACGATTCTGTGAGATGCAATCTCCCTAACATCACTCGTATTACGTATATAGTTTGTATCCTAGTGGTTCCACTTCTCTGATTAAACCGTAAGACGGTTTACTTACAGGCAACACTTGCTTCCTATTTGTTAAAGCAAATGGAGGATTAAACATGCAAATGTCATCCTTTCAATTATAGCTACTTAATTTTGGTTCATTGATTATTAACACTTTTGAATGCATAATGAATTCAAGGCCTCCCCCCCAACTCTACTTGATCCAAGTAACTGCCATTATGATTATTAGTTACTGTCCGTTAAAGACGTCTGCACCGTCCCAGCCCGTCACAGGGAGCCCCTGGCCTTGGCTGAACCTGCGGTGGCTTTGCCCACAGGATCCCTGACTGCACTCAGTGTAAAAGAGGCAGAGGCCAAAGCCTGCGCTGGCGGCTGTGCACCTGAAGTTTTGGGTTCTTTCCATATATTGTTAGAGTGCCAAGCTGGAAATGGTCCTTTTGAGGTTGTGTTTACAGTGAGTTTTGACGGACCCCCAGGTTCTCATTTGACTTTTTACTTTGTTATTTTTTGGTCATGGGCAAAAACTTATTTCTGTGTAGTCTCACTTATCATTTCTTATTGTTTCTTGATTTTGAGCCATACTAAAATTACCCTAACTTCCAGGTTCTAGAGGAATTTCATACACGTTTTCATCTAGTCCTTGTTTGGTTTTGTTTCTTTATATTTAAATCTCTTTTCCAGTTGGAATTTATTCTGCTATGTGGTATGAAGACTGAATTCAGTAACAAAATGGCTACTGGTTATCCCAGTGCTACATATTATAGTCATCCCTTCCTGCAGATTTGAGACATTACTTTTTTTTTTATTATTTTTTTAAAGTTACTGATTTTAAAGAGAAGAGAGGTGGAGAGAGAGAGAAAGAAGCATCGGTCTGTTGTTCCCGTTATTTATGCACTCATTGGTTGATTCTTGTATGTGCCCTGACCGGAGATCGAACCCACAAACTTGGTGTATCGGGATGATGCTCTAACCAACTGAGCCACCTGACTAGGGCAAGACGCCATTTTTTCCTGTATTTCCAATTGGGAGCGGTCTCTCCAGTTGATATTCTGACATTGGGAAAGGCTCAGAGCCAAGCCAATGAGCACAGAAGACTCTGCATGCGGAATGAACCCCATGGGCGTGTGGGAGCCGAGCCGCACTGCCCCCATGCCCAGGGGCCAGTGGTGATGGTCTGGCCCTTGCTTGCAGAGCCTTAGGTGAGTGGCCCGGCTGAGACTCTGCTGCTGCCAAGGCTGCCTGGTGTGGCCTGCACTGTCCTCAGCCATCAGAGCCCTAGGGGTCCTCCCTGCAGACCCTGGACTTTCCTCTGGATCCACGAATACTTGAGATTGCTCTGGATCTGGCCCCGCTCTCCACACCCCACGTTCCAGGTTCCTTGCCTTGCCCGTGTGGAAGGAACCTGTACGTTTTTGGGGAGACTATTTCCCCACATTATTCTGGCCCCAGGACTCTACCAAGAACATGAAGATCCTGGCACAGTTGGGACCAGGCCAGCTGCTAGCTATTAGGGCTGCTTTTTAGTTGTGCTCAGAGGAATTGGAGGTGTTGGTTGGAGGTAGGAATCATGGCTAGAAGTGGAAACAAGGAGCAAGAGGAGCACCCTCCACTGCCAATGAAACAGGGGAAGGGAGGCTTCAGGGGGACTGTGTGGTCAGTACGCAACCAGGTGTTAGAACAAGATGTCGGAGGGAACTTTCAAGGAAGTCACAACACAGAGGGATTTGCTGCTCTCTGAAAGAGCACACTAGAAGGTGTGGGGGCCATGGGGGGCTCCTATACTTTTTGAAGGTATGAGAAGGTTTGCTACTTACATAACGGAGGTCTCTGGGGAAGGTAGGGAAGGCCCTCAGACAGGTGCAAAATGGCTTGAGAAAAAGGGAAGGGTATTGGCTGGGGTGTTCGCTGTGGTCAGTGGGTGGGGCCTGCGCGAGGGTTCCCAGGCGTAGTGAGGCCTTCTGCAGGCTGACTCTCCTGCTGGCATCAAAGGAGGGAGCACCCAGCTTTCCAGCTTGTGCAGAGGTGGGCAGGAGACTCGGATGAGACGCCAAGGCTGTCAGCAAACGTCAGAAAGTGGAGCCAGGCTGCTCAGTACAGTTCACCCTGATGTTTGTAGACCAAAACACCAGGTTTCGCTTCATTGAGTGTGTAAATAAGCTGATGGACTGTGCAGCCTGCAGCCAGGGAGGGAGGTGACTTCCAGCGTTGTGCGTTCGCAGAAGGGACGGGTCGGGGGCGGGGGGCTCTGTCGGTGAAGTCTGGAGCTTGGGTGGGGGATGAGGGTGTCCTGGTGAGGCCCTGCGCTGTGGCCCGAGCACAGCTAGAAACATTTGTGACCTTGATGGATCGATTGGCTATCTGTGCAGCAAGAGATTCCCAGAGTCCTGTACCCCAAGGGGGGCAACTCTTAGGTGATGGTACAAGCTGGGAAAACTGCGTAGACGGGGCTCATGGTTAGCCAGGCCGTGCGGCGCAAAGCCGACTGCCTGAGGGGTGGGTGGCCAGCGGCACTGGCCCCAGGGTCTGCTCAGGGCACGAGGAGCAGGGCCCCGGCCGGCGGGCAGGCGGGGACGGGTACTCTGAGAGACCTGGGCGCCGGCGCGCAGGCCCCGGTCCCTGCTGGGCTAGGCCATCATTTTCGTCCCTCTGCTCTTTTCCCCACTTTGCTCCGTCCCCTCTCCCCAGTGTCTCTCTGCTTCCCTGCCACGAAAACTAGTGACTTAAATAATTAAGACTCTTTTGGTAAAAATAAGTAATCCACCAAAATTAGAAGAGAACCAAAGGGCCTCCCTGTTGCCTTGGAGCGGCCCTTGCCAGGCAGATGGGCTCCAACCACCAGGCCTCCCGTCCGGACCAGGACTTCCCAGGCCCCCGTCACACGAGCTCTGTTGTTCCTGAGAAACGCATTTCCAAGGACGTCATGAAAGTAGAAACAGAGTGTGGCTGACAAAAATTTGCTCTTCTAGACCATTTTTATTTGGAAACAAAACATCCTGAAGTTAAAATCAGGCTGCAGACAGCGTGAAACAGGTCGGCTCCGTCCAGACGCTCGGCAGGGCTCACGCCCTCTGCGGACCACGTGCTTGACCTCCCGCAGCTGCTGTGCCCTCCAGCAGTGGGGCGGCTGGGGCCATGGCCAGTGGGGGCTGAGAAGGGAGTGACAGAGAGGCACACGTACTTGCCCCACAGTCTCCACACAGCAGGTGATCTTGGTAAAATGTCAGATCAAACTCTTGGGGTGCGCACAGGCTCTTCATGCTGTGGCTCCCCAGCACTTACTCCATCTGCCCCGCCCCCGCCCGCTCCCCTGCAGCCACGCGGCCCTGGCTCTCTGACGGCCCGACGGGTCCAGGCCCCCACCTGCTCAGGGCCCGTCACCCACCCCATCTCCACTGTCATTCTCTCACTCGCTTCAAGTCATTGCTCAAAGGACATCTCAGTGAGACCGTCTCTGACCACCCCCATCTAAAACCAAACCCCTCCACATGCCCAGACCCCATTGCCTGCTTCACATGGTTTCGTAGCAACCAGAACCACTGGTCCCCTCCCCGCACGCAGGCATCTCTGCCTCGTTTCCTGCTGTGTCCCCAGTGAGGGTCAGCAAGGCTTTACGGAAAGAAAGCGGAGATCGAGTCCAGGCTGCGCAAGGAGAAACGTGAAGCCGGAGAGGGAGCACAGGGGTCGGCAGAGTGGAGCGAGCGAGCAGTCACCAGGGCAGGTTGCCCCCAGACCGCAGGTGCGGCATGTCCTTGTTAGGTGCTCCCTTGGGAGCGGAGGTTGGGGGCGGTGGGGAGGGCGAAGAAGCTTGGCTGTGGCCCAAACCCATGAGACAGACCTTTGCCAGCCATCTCTTCCTCTCTCTTCTCCCTTCCAACCTTCCACACACTCTCAGTGAAAACACAGAAGCCAAACCCTGACCTTCCCACCTTAACTGCACACCTGACTACACCTGTCCATTTCCCCAGGAACAGTGCAGGAGGGGCCTGTCTACCCACCCTATGACACCCCCAGGCTGAGACCCGCTGGCTGATGACGAGGGCCTCCTGGTGGCCAACGTGTTTGTGGACCCAGTTCCCCAGCTCAGGGGCCTAGGCGCAGCTTTGGGAAACAGGAGGGCAAGTTCCCACCTCCTGGGGGCACCGAGCAGGTTTTCATAAATGTCTGGTGACACACAGACGTGGAAAAAACCCGACACCTGGGACCTTGTAGGGAGAAGAGGGTTGGCAAGGAGAGAGCTGTCCTCTGCGGGGCCAACAGCCAGGACCAGAAGGCACAGAACTGGAGGCTGGAAACGGCCACCTGTCATTGTGCATCACCCTGAGCAGGGACCGGAGTCACAGCGGGGCTGTGAGGAGAGGGCATGGCGTCAGACTACAGAGGGACGCGAAGGACCGGAGTGCGGGGCAGCAGGCAAGCCCGTGTCCAGTTACGGAGTGGACGAGATGGCGAGGGGTCGGTGGTGCTGAGCGCACACCGCCCTGGGGGAGGGTGGCAGCTGTCAGACCCAAAACTCTCGACCTGACTTTACATAAACAGAACATGAATTACCAAACAAAAGAATTACTGTGGTTCTCTTGAAGCAAATGGCAGTTTACTTTTTTGGTTATGTTTGATTACAGTAATAAACTCTGTTCATAAATAGGCAGCCTCTTATCATCTCTTAACAAACAGGCAGTCTCATAACAAAATGTAAAAACACGAAAGAAACAAGAGGTCATGTGAGGTGGGTGCAAGGGCGGGAGGGAGGGAGCCTGTGAAAAACCCTCCCAAAGGAGGGTCCCAGGCTGTGTGAACAGCAGGTTCGGGGAGGAGGGCAGGGAGTGAGCTCTGCTGCAAAGCTGGGGGCCAGGGAGGGGCCACGCCCACTCTCACTCCCGGGAGTGGGTCAGCTGGTGCTTGAGCAGCTTTGAGCGCTGGCTGAAGGCCTTCCCGCACGCAGCGCAGTCGTAGGGCTTCACCCCGGTGTGGACCCTCTGGTGCTGGATGAGGACTGAGCGCTGACTGAAGGATTTCCCACACTCAGTGCACTTGTAGGGCCTCTCACCGGTGTGGATGATCTGATGCTGAATGAGGTGTGAGCTCTGGCTGAAGCCCTTGCCACATTCAGTGCACGTGTATGGCTTCTCTCCAGTGTGAACTTTCTGGTGGTGGATGAGGTTTGAGCTTCGATTGAAGGCTTTACCGCATTGGTTACACTCATGGGGTTTCAATCCATTGTGGATTCTCTGATGCTGGATGAGAGTTGAGCTCTGGCTGAAGGTTTTCCCACATTCGGTACATTCATAGGGTTTCTCTCCAGTGTGAACTCGCTGGTGAAGGATGAGGTTGGAGCTGCGGCCAAACGTCTTCCCACATTCCCGACACTCGTAGGGCTTGTCGCCTGTGTGCACCCCCTGGTGCTGAATGAGGGCTGAGCTGTGGCTGAAGGCCTTCCCGCAGACGCCACACTCATAGGGCTTCTCTCCTGTGTGGATTATCTGGTGCTTTCTGAGCACTGAGCTGTAACTAAAGGCCTTCCCACACACGTCACACACATGAGGCTTCTCTCCCGTGTGAATCCTCCGATGCTGAATGAGGCTGGAACTCTGACTGAAGGCCTTCCCACAGTCACTGCATTTATAGGGCTTCTCTCCCGTGTGGACGCGGTGATGCTTAATGAGGTTGGAGACCCGGCTGAAGGGTTTGCCGCACTCACTGCACTCGTAAGGCCTCTCCCCAGTGTGAACCCGCTGGTGCTTCCTCAGGTGGGAGCTCTGGCTGAAGGCTTTCCCACACTCAGGACACTCAAAAGGCTTCTCGCCCGTGTGGATCCTGCAGTGCTTGATGAGGTTGGAGCTCCGCCTGAAGGCCTTCCCGCAGTCAGTGCACACGTACGGCTTCTCCCCAGAATGAATTCTCTGATGCTGGATGAGGTTGGAGCTCCGCCTAAAAGCCTTCCCACACTCGCTGCATTCGTAGGGCTTCGCGCTCACGTGAGACTTCTGGTGCTTCTTAAGGCTCGAGTTCTGGCTGAAGGCTTTTCCACAGTCACTGCAAATGTAAGGCTTCTCTCCACCGTGGGCGACCTGAGGCCCGAGCAGGTCTGTGTGCACACGGGAGGCTTTCCCACACTCGCTGCAGTGGTAGGGCTCACGCCCAGGAGACCGCTGATGATTTTTAAGAACTGAATTCTGGCTGAAGGTTTTTCCACACTCATTACATATGAAGGTGCTTTCAGCTGTGAGGAGCCCCTCATGGCTGGTTGGATCTGCGCTGTTTGGGGAGCTCTGGGCACACGTGTACAGATGTGGCGTCTCTTCCCCAGAGGTTCCCTGACATGCCACTGGGTCTGGGCTCAGACTGAAGCTCCTCTCAGAGCCACCACAGTCCAGCTCGCTCGCTCCTACGGGGCTGTGAAGGGGCACTGCCGCCGGCGTGAAGTGCTCCTCTGGGCAGGGCTGCCCCTGCCTCCTGTCATCAGGGACAGCGCAGTCTCCTCCCAACACGTCATCACGGAGTTCTCCGAGCTCAGGTGCCAAGGACACGTCACTGGCGCAGTTTTCTGATATTTCTGCCTGTGATTCTAAATCCTCAGAAATGTCTTCCTTCTGAAGAAACTCCTTGCCCTCAATCCTGGTGTTGGGATCTGAAATGACAAACATGAAGTCCCACTTGGAAGGAAACAAGAACACGCACACGGCAAGTTTGGGAGTGTGGGACCCGCTGGGGGGTGCCAGTCCAGATCTCTTGAGGTGACAGGGAGGGGCAGGGGAGCTCTGAGGGGACGAGGCAGCAGGGCGACCGAAGACCGACCCACCCTCGCCTGCCGCCCCAGCACCCACGCCTCAGGAAGTCACCTGCGGTCCACCTGCTGGTTCGGGCCAGTCCCAGGCGCCCCTCGACTGCCCTTCCTCTCACCCACAGCAGGTCCTGTTGCCTGTACCTTGACGTGTGTCCCAAACCCAGGTGCTGACCCCTCCCCCCACAAGGAGAACATAACGTGCCCTGCGTGACATTCTGCCTGGTTTTCTTTTCCATCGCGCACACTATGGGCTTCCTGGACCCATCTGCCGTTCGCTCAGTGCTAGGTAGTGGCTTCTGGGCTTTGCTGCAGGAGTCGCTGAGGGAGAGGGGGCCCAGAGGAGAAGCAAAGCTGGTTCCAGTTGCCTGGCAGGGACTCCGGTGCAGCGTCAGATTCTGTCCTCTTCAATGCAGGCCTTCAGGGACTTGCCAAAGCCACCTTTACCTTCGGGAACCTGCACACCTGACTGAGGTCAGATGACCAGTTCTTGCCCTGGTACAAGGTTAGGTGGCTGTGTCCATCTTTTAGAAGGTTCTGTCATATAAGAAGGGCTTTGGCACCTCCCTGGGTCTCCTCACGCCTGGAGGTCAAGGAAACCCTCGTCCCCCCCGAGTCTTTCTCATTCACCTTGTGACACCCAGGGCACAGGCCGCCATCTGCTCCTGCCTGCCCTTCCACCCTAACCCTCCTGCCCACAGGCAGCCTGTTGGCATCAGAGCACCTCATCTTCCCAGCTCCCCTGCCCCCCAAGCTCACCCCCAACCCTGCTCCTGCCGCTTCCTGTGCAGGGGAGATATGCTCCCCTTCAGGCCTGCCCTGCGTGGAACACGCTCCCTAGAGGGTCTTGCACAGCTCAGACCATGCCCGGGCCGGGCTCCCGCCCTGGGACTGGGCAACCCCTGTCTGGCTCCAGTCAGTGGTGCTGAGTGGACAGGTAAAGGACACCCTCCTCCTCCTCCGAGCCTCTTTGGGCCTGTCGCCCTCCAACCTGTCCCTCAGTTCTGGTCACCACCACCTAGAATCTCAAGAACCTGCTGCCACAACAGCACTGTCTCCCTGCCCCGTTTGGTTGCGTCTGTTCTCACACGGACCTGGCCTGGCCACCGGCTCAGCTTGTCTCCAACCACAGACCTGTGTCAGGTGGCAACTTCACACTCGTCACACGGCTAGTGGTCCAGACACAGTTCACAGGCTGGGAGCCCTGGCCCTGGGGTGTCCAGACATGCTGGGCTCCCGGGAGCTGCGGGAGGCGGACGCAGCAAGGGCTGCATGGAACTGCCTGAATGGCCCAGGGCGCAGGGTGCACCCCCGCACCACAGCCACCTCCGTGGGCTGCGTGTGGAAAAGGCACGGAAAGCAACACACACAGGAGTGGGCAGAGCTCCTCTGTCAACGACCAGCGAGAACCTATTTTAGGCTTTATGGCTGTATGGTCCCTATTGCGTGGTCTGCTTTGTTAAAACCGTCAAAAACCTCAAAACTGTTCTTGCTCGCTGGGCTTAAGAAACCACTGCCTGACTTGGCCCGGTCTGTGGGCCACAGCGTGCTGACCTGGCGAACAAGACCGCGGTGCCATTCAGGAGACGGCAGCAACGGGAAGCGGTTGTCTGACCTTGGTCACTGCTGACCTAGAAGCCTTTGAGACAGGAAACAGAAGTGAGTCCTGGGGGTAAGGATTGTGAGAGGTCCCTTTCCATTTGTTAAATTTAATGTAAGTTTCTGCAACATCAGAACTGTTGGAAAAAACAAAGTTTCGCTTTTGATTTTTTCTTTTTTATTTTAGGGGGGGGACCCCAACAACTAAAATTTGGGTTTAAAGCAAAAGAATGACTTGAAAGCAAACGCAGTGACTCGCAGTGCCGTGCTGCTCCAGGCCGGCCACACTTCAATAAGCAGGGGTGAGGACCGAGCCCTTCCCCCCCAAGAAAGTAAAGTTCATGATTGCTGCTTTGAGGTCTGCAAAAAGCAGCCAAGTCCCACATCCAGGCCACCGCCTCGAGCACCACCTGTGCCTGCGTGGTGCCGGCCGCTGCTGGCGGCACAGCCCTGCCTCACCACCGCCTAACGGACCCTACTCATCTTCCACCTCCTGCAGTGGCTTTTGTCTGCACCTTCGTAATTTATTGGGGTGAAATTCACAAACGTAAGCGTGTTTTAAATGAACAATTCAGTGGCATTTGGTCCATTTACAGTGGTGTGTACTCCCGACCTCCGTCCAGTTCCGAAACCCCCCATCACCACACAGCGAGGCCTCCCTTTGGTTTATCATCTTTGTATCTCCCCTCCCCCTGTGCCACCTCCTGGCAACTATCGATCTGCATTTTGTCACTAAGAGTCTGTGTATTTCTGATGTCTCAGATGAGTGGCATCACGTGTATGGTTTTTCTGTGGCTGGATTCTTCCCTTGGCCCGATGGTTAGCAGGTCCGTCCACACTGCTATGTGCACTGGTGCTTCATTCCTCTTCACGGCTGAACACCACGCGGGTCCCCCTCACCCACGGTCTCTCTTCCTGCAGTTTCACTTACCTGTGGTCAACTGCGGTCTGGAAATATTAAATGGAGAATTCCAGAAGTAAACAGTCCATAGGTTTTAAATTGCACACTGTTCTGAGAGGCACGATGAAACCCTGCACCGCACCGCTCTGCCCCACTGCGGGCCGCGCACCACCCCGTGCCCAGCGCACTCGGTGCACGCTCCACCCGCCCGTGGGCTACTCAGGAGCCCCCTCGGTGACAGATCTGCCGTCGAGGTAACGCACTGCTTGTGTTCAGGCCCCCCTGGTTTTACTCAGTGATTGCCCCAAAGCAGAAGAGTAGGGATGGTGACACTTCAGCTGTGCCAAGGAACGCTATGGCTTTAAAAAAAGAAAGAAATGGTGTGTATGTATAGGGAAAAGTGGTATACAAGAGGGACCCCAAATAAACTGGAATTAGCTTCTGGAGGGCAGGGCCCTTGGAGTCCAGGCTTCCCCCGCTAGGTGAGTGCTCTGGGAACCCATCTGTATCAGGTAACCAGCCGGCGGCGGCGTGAAAGACTGCGTTCGGCTTCCGTGATCTTTTCTTCTTTTTGAAGACTCTTCCAACACGTTTGCCCACTTTGTGATGGGTGACTGAGAAGCGCACCTGCCGACACTATGCTGCTCAGCAGCTGGTGACCCAAAATGGCATGAACCCCATGCCCCACCCTCCCTATGCACCCAATCTTGCCCCAAATATATATATTTTTTGTTTCCCCGGATGAAAGAAGTCCTCAAAGTGAAACGTTTTGCCAGTGGGGAAGAGGTAAAACAAAAAGCAGCAGAGGCACCCAAAAGGCCTCAAAATTGACGAGTTCAAAAAGTGTTGTGAGCAGTGGAAAAAACATCTCGATAGTTGATAGTTGTATCAAGTGGAAAGTACTTTCAACATGACTGAACTTTAAACATGTAAAAATACACACACAATTATTTAGAAATAAATTCTGGGTTTTGGGGTCCCCCTCAGTATATAGAGCCAGTACTACAGTTTCAGGCATCCACGGGGGCGGGGGGGCCTTGGATCACATCCTCCGTGGATAAGGCGGGGCTGCTATATCCCACTGCATGAGCAACGGGGCTGTTTGCCCCTTTGGGCTCATGTGAACAATGCTGCTACAAACATGAGGTCCGTTTGTTTGTCTTCAATTCTTCGGGTATGTGTCTAGCCATGAAATTCCTGGGTCATATGATGATGCTATATTTAAACTTTTGAGAAACCGCCGGATTATTCCATGGTGGCTGCCATTTTATATTCCCACCAGCAATGTACCAGGCGCTCCAGTTTCTCCACATATTGGAAACACTTGTTACTTATTTATTTTCTTAGCACAACCGCCCCAGTGGGTGTGAAGTGGTGCCCTCACTGCAGTTTCGATGTGCATTTCTCAAATGGCTATGGAATCGGAGCATCTTTCCATTTGTTTTTTGGCCATATGTATAACTTCTTTGGAGAAATGTTTATGCAGGTCCTTTGCCCACTTTTAAATTGGGCTGTTTGTCTTTTGCTGTTGAATCATTAAGAGTTCCTTATAAATTCTGGGTACTAGGCCCTTACCAGATACACAACTTGCAGATTTTCTCCCATTCTTAGGGTGTCCTTTTATTTTCTTGGTAACATCCTTTAATGCCCAAAACTTTTAAGTTTTGATCAAGTTCAGTTTACCTGTTTTTTGTTGTTCTAGCACATGGTTTTGGTGTCATATCTAAGAACCCACTGTCAAACCCAAGATTATGAAATTTACCTGTTTTGCAAGAGTTTTATGACTTCAGTTCTTATGTTTAGGTTGTTGGTCTGTTTTGAGATGATTTTTGTATTCAGACGAGGTAGGGGGTCCAAGGTCATCCTTCCGCATGTGGAAACCCACCTGCCCCAGCACCTTGCTGAACATCAGCTGGGCAGACATACGCGTTTTTTCCTAGGCTCCCAGTTCTGTTCCATTCATCTGTATGTCTATCCTGATGCCAGCTCTGTTTTATTGTCATTACTGCAGTTTTGTGGTCAGTTTTGAAACGCAGAAGTACAAGTCCTCTCCCTTTCTTCTTCTTCTAAGACTGTTTTGGCTATTTGGTGTCCTTGTATTTAATTACTTATGAATTTAGACTTTCATTTCTACAAAAATGGCTGTTGGTATTTTGATAGAGATTATACTGAATCTGTAGACTGCTCTGCAGAGCAATGGCATCCTAATCCTACTCATGGACATTGGATGTCTTTCCAATTATTAAAGTATTCTTTAATTTCTTTTGGCAATGCTTTTATAGTTCTCAGCAAACAAAATTTTCACCTCCTTGGTTAAATCTGTTTGTATTTTCTTCATTTTGACGTT